GTTAAATATCTAGTGTGAAGAGTCTGTAATCAATCTGATGTCCTCTTGAAATGGAGGTGGAGTTAATTGTCCCCAGCTGTCCGTTCTATCCTTCTGTGCAGACATGAAATAGATTTTGTTTAAATGACTTTCATCAAGGTACACGAAACTGGTGTTGAACCTAGTGGACAGCATTTTTACTAGCTTCACGTGAGGTCTTTTTTCCTAAACTAACAATTTCCTGAGATGATCTGGCCATGTTATTTCATGCTTTTTTTTTTTTTTTTTTTTTTTTAGTAGGTTCAAAGGTGTGTGAGCTAACATCACTACTGTCATGAGGTTCTGGAGGCATGCTGGCTGACATTAGGTGTTCTAAAAAAAAAACAACCAACCATCTGTAGTGATTGTTTGCCATTTTGACGCTTGTATGGCTTCTTGCTGCAGTGTTTCTTAAAGGTACAATTGATTCTAATAGCAAAAACCACTCCTTCAATTACATGAAGTTATAATCTAAATTTTTGAATAAATTGTGCAGCAGTTCTTTACTTGCACAGGAAAGCTGAATGTCAGGTTTGTTTGCTGCATCTCCTGTGCTGGATGGAATAAAACAATTAAAAGCCTTTTATACAGATATGTACCATTACTAGCAGTTTGTGGAAAATGTGTGTGGTGAAGTCCAGCATATTCAAGCTTGGACAGTAATAGCAGTCTAGGATTTTTTTATTTTTTTATTTTTTTTTTTTTTTTTTTTTTTTGTGGGGAGTTGGTTGGCAGTCAGAATACTTGAAGAAATCTTTTGATTACATGAGCTCACTGTAAGCAATCTTATGGAGGTTGGGGCCATTTAAATGTCTTTGTGGTTAGAGTATTTTCTTCTTCCTTAAGAAATGCCACGAAGGAAGATTACAAAAGTGAGTACTTTGCTCCAATATGTACAAATAATGACCTTGTTTTTTAAATTTGTGGCCACAAAGATTTGTTCAATGTAAACTTTGTGGTGAATGATACACTGCAGTGTGTCAAGCTTAGCCCATAACGGTTTACAGTTAGTCTCTTACATAGTAACCTTTTCATTGTTTAATACAGTACTAGACACCTGTAAACAGAGTAGTTTTATTCAGATGGACTTTGGAATGTTGCTTCTTAATAACATTTCTTGGATGGTTCTCTTAAACATTTGTGTGTATTTCTAATTCTGGTAGTACACTGCTAAAACACCTAGTTCTGACAGCTTTGATAGCAATTTCTGCATTGCATGGACAGTTTAGGGAGCTTAGACTGGGAGAAACTGCTACATTTTCAAGATTACACAGAGAAAAGGAACCTCCCTATAGAGTCTTCTACAAGGACAGCAGAAATGGCTTGCTTCTGCTAGACTGGTTTTTCTGCCCTTCTGGAAAACTGAGCTTGGAGAGAGAAGGTTTTGGTGTTAGTGGAAAAGCTTATGAAGTAAGCAGTCCCATCTATTGATACAGCTTCAGAAATTTATTTTGGCTTTCTCAGAAGACAATTTAAAGTTACCAGCTAGACTGAAGACTCCTCTACAATGGTGTGACATGACAGGATACCCGGCAGAATATTTGATTGCTTTTACCTGGGATTCTGGAAATCTCCTGCACTGGCAGCCATTGTTCAGTAGCAGCAAATAAAGAAACCCATGTAATTTTCCCATAGAGTACACAGATCTTGTGGCAGATCTCTGACCTTTAAATACAACAGTCTCTTATGCGTTAGGGGCTTAATATCTGGAAAGGAAGCTAGTTCCAAGTTATCTGATAGGACCACAAAGATAAGTAAGGGACTGGAGCATCTTACATATGAGGAAAGTGAGAGAGATGATAATAACATTCAGCTTGGAGAATAGCTTATGAGCAGTTTTATCAATGTTTTGAAATATGGGAGAGTACAGGAGCCAGATCATTCTCATAAGTGCTTACTGAAAGAAAAGCAGGGAACGAGCACATTAAATTCTCATTGAACATGAGAGGAAATGCTGTGCAACACTTGTCACACGATGACACAAGTTGTCCAGAGGGAGGAGTCCCCATCTGTGGAGATGATCAAAACTAGATTGGGACAATCCTTCCTGCTGTCCTGGGCAGCCTGCTGTAGGTGATGCTGCCTGAGCGTATGGGGGTGAACTAGAAGGTCTTGAGAGGTCCTGTCCATACCTAATGATCATGTGATTTCATAAGCAGGCCAAAAGCTGTGTGGTGCTATATTTTTTTTCACTGGGACTCTTTAATTCAGACTTGGCCCTCAAGTACCTTTGGACCAGAATAACTCTTGATGCATTCTGAAGAGATGTTGGTATAGCACTGATCAGTGGGAAGAATCTGTTTTTTGTGATGTCTTTATACAGGTGGTGCTATCTATTATTCAGGTTCCCTGGTAAAATACAGGACAAAACCTGGTTTTCCATTGCTTACGCCTTATTTGAGCTGAATTTTTATCATGTGTGCATGTCTTACCTTTCATTTTATTCTTTCCAGTTTTATTGGCATGAAAACAACAGTTGGAGCAATTTAGCTTTTCCTTGAGACTAGGGGGGAAAAGAGCAATTTGTCTTTGTTTTTAGTACTTCAGGCAAGTTATCAGGAAAATTGATGAAGCTTGTATGATTGTATGTTTTTTCATAGATTGTGTCTGGTATTTAGAACCTTTCCCTGTCACTGTGTATCTCCTGTGGGCTTTGTGTTCAGTGGCTTGAAGTAGTCATAAAACTCTCTTCTGTATTGTCAGTAATGCTTTTGCTGGCCCAAATAGATGGAGCATACTTGAATTAAGGAGCAAGAGTGTGTGAGGATCACAGAAATGTAGACACAGACAGGATCACTTAAACTTAAGAGATCCTGCAAATATGATGATAAATATTTGAAGGAAAGGAATTCTTATTGCTCTAGATGATGAGAAAACAACCCTAGGCTGCTGCTCCTGACTCCTCTAGCCTTCATCTAGATCTGTGAGAATGCATGCAGGCTGTGAAAAGTAGTGGGACAACTGTCTAAGGCAAGAGTAAAAGGGAATGTCCAAATCCAGAACCTGCACTCCCAGGGGGAAGAGATGGTGCTTTCTGACACGAAATGTAACTATTTTGAGGTATCTGGCTGAGATAAGGCACCTGCGTGTTTTTAGGAATGAGGAAAGCAGTGGCTTTGTGTTCTTCTCCAGGGGTTTTGGATCTCTTTGGTAGTTAGGTAGTTATCACTTAAGAAAACTGGTTCCATCATGGACTTTTTTTTTCTTACTACCACGGCATCAGCCCTTTTGGTGCTAGTGCAAGCAAGTGTGAAGCATTTAATCTCCTCCTCAGGTCCAAGGCATACACCACAGACTTTTGGAACTTTGGGTCTGTGCCACTGCGGTGGATTCCACCTGAGAGGGTGAGGAAAGTCTCCAGTCAACCACCAGTTTATTTCAGGCAGGTTTCCTAAGGAAAAAAGCTTCAATGATTGGACTGTATTAGCTTCTGTTCCAGTCTGTTTTGAACCCATCAGTCCACGTGAACAGATTTGGCAGGGGAATAAGCTTCTCAAAAACATGAAGTTCTGATTTTCATGAAAATCAGAACGTCTGTTTTTGGAATGTGAGTCCTAAACTTCACTGAAGGGCAAGCTCAGTAAGCAAGCATGCAAGCTAGTGTGCAAGCTTGCCTAGTGGGAGGGTGATGTGTTGTGTTTAGAAAAGGGTGTGAATGCCTGTTTCTTTCAGTGTGTACAGATTCCCTGCATTTTCATTTCAGCATGCAGAGAAATGTCTTGTGAGAACTGTATTTGCTGTTTCCCAATGGAAGTCTGAGGCTGACAGCTACATGATTTTTCATTATCAGAATGCAAATGTCTTTCCCTATGCTGTCCCGCTAGGGATTCTTCTAGCTGTGTCAGTTTGCACTGTGGCTGTAGAAATTTTACGCTTGTTTCTCTTTTCTTCCTTCCTTTTAGGATGTTGCAGGTTTAGGCACTTGAATATGGAACGTGAGTATGCGAGTTTTCTTTCCAGTTTCAGACTGAAGAGAAACCTTCAGCTTTTCACCAATGAGCTCAAAATTCACACTGTAGCATCCTGACATTTCAAGAAATGAAAGATCACAGGATCATTAAGGTTGGAAATGACCAATTAAGATCAACTAGTCCAACCATCAATTCATGACTGCTGTGTCCACAAAACCACATCCCTCAGTGCCCCACACATTTCCTCTTGTATGGGGTAGTTATATAGTTGTTACTGACTGAAAAAGTTATTGCATCTCTTTTCTTCTTACAATGTATTATGAAAATCTGGACTTCCAGAGTGGACAAGACAACTGTAACCTGGGGATTTTATAGAACTGTGTTTCAACAAACAACAAGTATGTCAGAAGAACTTTTCTGTAGAATATACTGTTTGCCTCTACTTAGCACATAGATGTTCTCACCTCTGTATTTGTTCAGAAGCAGAGTGCAACACGCAGTCACACGTGAGTATATTTGTACTATTTGCATCGTGGGAAGGTGTGAAAGGGGAAGCAGAAATGGCTTTTTTTGCTGAGGATTGGAACAAACCACAAACAACTGCCGGTTCCCTGGCCAGCCAGCTCTCTGGGACATTTTTATAATTCTTGTGCTGTGTTGCTGGAGATCTGCAATTAGCCTCAAACCGGAGCTCGCAGCTTGTGTGCGAAACAGGCAGCTGCTGGCACGCAATCTTCCCCGAAGTTGTTTCCTTTCCTTTTTCCTGAGATTTAGCGCAGGGGGGGAAGGGGTTGGAGTCACATGGATACAGAGCTTTTGATTAATGTCCAAGTCTGGGCTGCGGCGGAGGCTTTCCAGCCTCTCAGCGAACGGGGCGAGCTGGGAACCAGTGACCGCTCGTTTCCTCCGGGCTGCGTCCCCTTCCTGACGGGAAAGGAGCGCGCACCGGGCAGGCTACTCGCCTGCGGAGCTCGGGCGGCTCCAGAAGCCGGAGCTGGGGCTGCTCCGTGCCAGGGCACCCGCGGGGGCTGGGCCCGGCCGCGCAGCTCCGCGGGCTCTTTTGTTGTTCTCGCCGGCAGCCCGGCTGCGAGCCCCGCTATTCCGCGCCGCACCATGACGGAAGAAAGCAAAGGGGAAGGCAAGGGAGAGAGCGGGAAGGACTTGGAGAAGCAGCTTCGCCTGCGCGTGTGCGTCCTCAGCGAGCTGCTCAAGACGGAGCGGGACTACGTGGGCACGCTGGAGTTCCTGGTGTCGGTGAGCAGCGCGGGGGGCTCGGCTCGCCTCAGCCCGCAGGGAGGTGGCGGGGCCCTTCCCCGCCGGGAAAGCCGTTCGCTGCCGCCGAGCTGCGCTGAGGGGGGAGCGGGGCTGAGGCGCTTCGAAACGGCTGCGGAGCGGGTACTCAACGGCTGCCCCCCTCTGGAGCCCGCCCGGATGACCTCACTTCTCCGGGCACGGGGCTGGGGGGCAGCGTGCTGCGTTCGGGTCTGTCCCGGCTGCGGGGCTCGCGTCCGTTCTGCTCTTTGCAATAGTCCCCGAAAGGCATCGGGGCGGGGTCAGGCGGGGACGGAGGGGTGCTGGTGTGGAGCAGCTGCTTGGCGTTAAAGCCACATGTGGCCTCGTTCCTGTCTTGTGATGCGGGGTCAGCTGGAAGGTAGCGCGCTGTGGGCAAGCCGGGCTGCAGCAGCCCTTGCTTCCCCTGCAGCTGGCTGTCGGTGTGGGTGAGTGTTGTGCCAGGTAGCCCCCAGCTGGGAAGCCAGTTTTCACCCTCTGAGGAAAAACAGAGGAACAACGATGACTAAACAGATGCGTGTGGTGTTTCTTTCGTGCAAAGTGCCAGAGCGTCACCTCAGGACCTCCTGAGATGAGTATGTCCAACTCATGGGATCATTAAGATTGGAAAAGACCGCTAAGATCACCAAGTCCAACCATCAACCCCTCACTGCCATTGTGCCACTAAACTGCATCCTTCAGTACTCATCTTGTTAACTTTGCGGATCTTTCACAGTAGCCCCATGTACTTTCCTCTTCTCCCCTGTCCTATTGAAGAGGGGAAATCCTTCATACTGCAAATTTCCTGCTTTGCTGCTCTGAGATCTGTGAACTTTCAGCTTATTATCATGAAAGAGGAAACTCTCAACTTGGCTGTGACGGGGAGAATAAAAGCACAGACACAGGAGTGAAATAAGATCTACAGAGTAGCTTATTTTCCCCATATGTTTATCCTCAGCAGAACCATGAAAAATGGTAAATGGTCCAATATGTTTTCTATTTTATTTCTTAACATTTAACGTGCATATTTGAGAAGGTGGCTGTGCAATTGTGTTTTATTTTGTTTCCTTTTAACTATCAGATTTTACCTACTGTAAAAAAGAAATAAAAGTCGCGTGGAGGAAAGGAGGAACATTGGAGTTATGCATAGTTATGTCATTTTTTTTTTTTTTTTAAATATTCATTAATGTTTGTGAACAGAACTCAAGTGATAGTTCAGAGATCTAAATTCTTCACAGGGAGATGTCGTGCTCTTTAATTGTACCTTAGCCTTGGTTTGAGGAAATATTTTCTGAGCTTTCCCTTAGCACGTCAACTGCAACTGCTGTTGAGCATAGTGGTGGATTTCGGGAGGGGAACAACTCTGGAGTAATCTCCAGAATGAAGACCAATCCCATCCAATACATGTCATCACTGTGCTTGTTTCTTAGTTGTTTCTTGGTCCAGAGGCTAGATCTTCTCATCATGAAGTTGTCTAGGGCATACAGGCTGGGTTCCTTATGGATGAAGATGAAAGATTTTCTCTTTGAGTGTGTTGGGTATTAATGAGTGTGGACTGGAACCAGACTGAAGTGATTCCTCCACATAATAGTGTGGGATCTCAGTGATGACTGTTTTTCTGTCCAAATCCTATCCTATTTTGCAGGCTCCTTATTAAACTAGAGACAGCTCAAGATGTTGAAGTTCCACTGAAAGTTAATAGCTTGGCTTCCAGGTCTCAACAATGTCAGTGGATCTCACTGTACTAGAAGCTTGGTTTCCTTGTTGATAGGAACCGGAATAGTCACTTAAAACAAGTGTGGTGTCAGGGCTTATTTCTTCTGCAGGGCTACAGAACGTAGTGTTTTATGATGTGTATGGTTCCTGTGGAGCTGTAGCAGTGGACAAGAGAGCTAACTTTTCTCCCATTTGGACTGAAATTGTCATTTTGTTTGCATACCCAGTTGAGAAAGCAGTTATATTAAGAGACAGAAAAATTCAATTTTCTTCCATCCATTGTTCAGGGACAACACATGTATGGGATTTGTGAGGAAGTATGACATACGTCATGCCATACCTGGCTCTTGTTCTTGAATACTTTGTGTGTCTTTTGAAGAGAATTGATAACATGCACTGCCCTTTGGCTGAGGCAAAAATTCGCAGTTGCAATGGGCAGTATGTAATATAAGCAGATGTGGAAGGAAGAGGGTAAACCTGATTTAACTGCACAGTGGGAAGAGGAAACCCGTGTTGTTGATAATCATGGTGGGGAATGATGTTTATCTGCTACAACTGGTGGCTGGCTGGAGAATGAAGAGATTTTAAGGAGGGATTAGCTTTGCTGGTGTATGTTTACATGGGAAATGCTTTGATCATGTTCCTGGGGGATGTCTATTATTTGTTAAAATTATTTAGGTTCTTCAGAGATTAAAAAGTGTCTCACCAAAGACAGATTTCTTAATGGTTAATTAAAATGCTCTTGTTATCTTGTTCTGTTGTGATGGTTCATTCTCCAGTTGGTTTGTGTACTCTTTTCAGAAGTCTACGAGTCTATGAAGTGCAAAGCAGATTTAATAGGTTCATTATTTGGCTAGATAGATGGAGCTGAATTGTTCCCATGTGAGGTCATTACCCTCTTCTTGTTTTTATGCTTTGTAAATACAGTATTGTTTTTAATCTGCTTTCATCACAGATCACATCAGTGTGAAAAGATTTGTTTGTTTTCAGTTCGCCTGAATCTTCCTGGAATAAAATATGGTAGCATGTGGATATATCAATAATACTGAGCAGTAACAATTTTAGGTCCACTTGAATGAGGTCTGCAGATGTACATGAGTTGGATAAACTGAAGTCCCCCAATAGTCACAGCAATGTAAGAGGGAGTAGATACACTCAGGAAATCAGGAAGAGGAGCTTAAACTTTTCCTTCAAACATTTCACTAAAATACTTGGACTGTCATTTCATTACCTGAGTTTTTGTTCTTGTTAACATTCAGTATTTCTTGAAATAGCTGTATCTACTGATGGAGAATTTAGCTGAGGCACTAAAGCATTTTTGAAAATTGTATCTCCAGGTGGAGTTTATTATGGCCTAAAGTATGAGGTTTCAATTGCAAAATATTAATGTTTCGCTGGCTAAAATAACAATTGGGATTTTTCTGATGCTGGGTCATACTTCTCTGGTAGTCATGTCATCTTCCAAGAGAGAAAACTCTGTTTTCCAATGAAGTAGAAGCTGTATCTGAATAGAGAAGAAGAGAGAACTGTTCATTTATTTATTTCTTTATTTATTTTCCCACTAAGTTCTCTCTGGAGGGGATGTATACCTCATCTATTTCATTCTTTTCAGAAAATGAAGAAGTACTTATTTTGCTCTCTCTGTGTAACATAGTGAATTTTTCATGTTTTCCTTCAGAAATAGCATGATTAGTTAAGTAGAGTAAAGCCAAGTAAGCTTTTCCAAGATTATTGTTGATCCAGTATTTTATGCTGAGGAATATACTTGACGTTTTAATGAATTATTAAAAAGTTTTATAAGTAATTAGCTTTATGCTTTCTTAGGAAGTTTCATTTTCTACGTAACATTGGGTACTCATCTGAAATCTCAACATATCAGTAGTAAAGAAACCAGTAAAACTGGAGTTAGAAGTTGCTGAGAATTTAAATATTGTTTGATAATAGAGAGGTACTGAATAGTGGCTGGCTTAATTTGTTACTTTGTAACTTGGTTTGAGGCTTAGTTATAGCTTTATTTCTTGCTGATATTGAATCAATAAAGGCAAACGGAGGTATGTTGCAGGGATATAGGCAAAATACAATTCGTTAAAATATGCTTAAGGAAAAAGATTCAACTTAAGAATAGAAATTGGATGTCCGTTAGATCTAGTACATTTGGTACTTTTGGGGGAAGCTGTGGAAGTAGAGTTTATTTATACATGATAAGGATTGTTTTTCTGATGCAGTTCTGTGTTCTGACAAATTTGACATTGATAGGAATAGCAGCAGATGTTAGCAGTTGTGTAAGTGTTCCAAAACCCCATAGCGTAGGTCTGGGCAACTTGTTAGGTCCTGAGGCAGCTAGAAGAAAAAGACAGCCAGTTATATAGAATATAGCATGGTTTACAGAATCTCTTCATGTACTTCTCTGCCAGTTAATTCTCAAATCTGTGGTTAATTCCATTAGATTCTACTGTGCTATCTTGTCTCCCTTCTGCTTACACTAAAGTGAAAAAAGGTTTGTTTTCTGTGAATGTGCTCTGTTAAAGGAAGCAGAATCCTTGCTTTTCAGTGGGCATAAGAGGATCTTGTTTATAAGGTTTACTGCCCAGCCTTCACAATGTCTGTGTGATGCCTTGGGATCTGTATTTCCCTGCCACGCTGTGCCTTTCCTTTCTCCTGTCTCAGTAGGTATTTCTCTGATTGTTTAGCAGACTAATTAGCTGGACAGGTGATTAATAGTAACTGAGACTCCACATAAGCTTTAGTCAAATTCAGCACTACCACTTCAGATTGGCAGTGGATGTTTTGTCCTGGTTATGTCCTGTCCCCAGTGCTTATGCCAGATGATGCAATTCAGGGTTGGACCTTTGACAGAAGAGCCATTTTAAGATGATCTTTTATGGCTTTGTGTTGTTTTTTTGTAAGCGTGAGTATCTGTGTTAAGCAGGTTATGTTATATATATAGCTCAATTACAGTAATGATTAGTAACTTCATAATGGTTTGCATAATTACGTTTAATAAAAGGGACATTTAAATGAATGGAAGGGGAAGGGCTTTTAGCTGGCTGCGTTTTTTGATAAGCTTATGTGATTTCCTTTCTCTTCAGGAAAAGAAAAGCAACATTCTATGGCTACTTCATCACAAAAAGTCAAAAGGAAGTGCAAGTACAATTACCATAGAAAGTCAATATCTTTTCCATTCACTTCCAATTTCTGCTGTTTTTTAACACGTCTAGGCATTACAAAATACTGAATATAGTATTCTATTCTTGTTTGGCTTGGTTGAC